ATATATATATATATCTGTATAACGTGAATGGAAAGAGAAGTTTTATTTTAACAAAGAGACAAACCTTAATATTTTAGAATCAAGATATAATATTTCTTGTCATTTAATATTCAATAAATTGTATATAAATTAATAAGTTATGAAAATGTAATTTAGTAATGGATTCTTACCCTGCTCCGGCACTTTGTAAATCCTTATAAATATCCTCTTGTGATCTTCCATGACCAACGGAGAATCCACTGTAAGAAATATATATTTCCTTATTATTTCTTATTCATGTTATAATTATTAATCTATTTATTTTTCAATTGTGACAAATTGATGATAATCAAATTTTAATATAAATGAATGCAGATATCGACAAATTACTTACATTATACCCTTTCGCCTTAGTCGTGGACAATTGGACAAGGCAGAAAGTGTGCAGAGGACGCGATGGAAGTTAGAAAGGTCGAATAGCATCGACGGCTCGAAGAGTTCCGAATCGGAGAGACCAAAGACATTCGAGCACGCTGATAAAAATACTTTTATATTACGCAAGCAAAGAAATTGTGCCATTTGCGGTTTTTGATTCACGTCTTTCATGTCTATGCATCCCGCATCTACAATGTTCAATAGATTGCACAGTAATACACCATCTCGTAATGTATAGGCCAAGTCGAATGCAGTTGCCTGTGGCCAATTGGCTTTGTGATCTGCTCGTAGTGCGCCACATCTGATCAACCATCTGGCAGATTCATGCCAAGCTTTATTAGCATCCACGCTGTCTGTCCTATTCATTTTGATACTTCTTTGTTCAACGGTTAGGACATTGAAGGCACATTTATAATTTTGTTCAATGGTTAGGACAATGAAGGCACGGTTATAATTTTGCAGATATTTCATGCATTAGATTCCAAGGTTTCATTCATCAGGCTGCTATCCTATTAAATATAAAAATATCATAGATTAAATAGATATAATTATTATAAAAAGAATATGTAAGTTCTTTAGCATTTATTATAATACAAAAAAAAAATAATTATTAAAAGATAATGAGATTGAGAAGTTTGAACAAATTGAGATTACAAATACTAGCATGAAATTTTTTATGATAAATGCTTAATATGTGACATCCTTTCATAAAATTCAAGATAACTACTAACGTAAAAGTTATATTATGAAATATATTGAATATTATAATATGAGAAATAAAATATTATTTTATACACACACATGCTTTGATATTCGTTGCAATAACTAATTATAAAATAATAATTATATATCTCTTATGCTAATACAATAATATATATTCATAATATATTATAGACACTAAAATAAGAACTAAGGCACTTGTTGAAAGCATGTGCCAATAAGATTTTATCCTTATTAAAAGCTACATTCACATATCTCGCGAAAAAATGTTCGCGTAAAAGAATTTTCCTACAAAATGAATCGCCGTTAGAGAGATCAATCTGTGAGATTAAATCGCGTGTACCGTGCGTGATCTTTATCGTCTCTCATTCTCGGCTATTGCAAGTGGACTGACCGACAATTCTAAGCCGAGCATCTCTCGAACCATGGAAGGGCCTCTTCGGGACACTGAAACGACTGAAACGGAAGTCATCGCGGAGCTTGTTATTCTCTGTCGGGGCCAACGATACTCAGTGCGCGATCCGTTGTAGCGGCGCTCGTGGATTCGCTCGGTAGTCTTGTGGATGGTACCATCGGCTATCGCGGCATCCCTTCTCTTGCGAGAAGAGAGGAAGACCACACGGATGTAAGTGGAGAAACGGAGGAAAGGCGATGAACGCACGGAACCCTTTGGAGAGTCCTTCGAAACTGGAGTTACTGCAGTGCGCGCGTATAGCCGTGGTGTAGCCTCGTGCTGCACGTCGCGCGTCACTCGGTCATTTTCACCGCGACACTTGTCGTGACGTTCACACCGCGTTACCCCCGCACGGTCAATTCGCGTCCGCCATACCACCACAGAAACCACTGCACGAATTGATTGTGACTGACGATATCGCTACTCTAGTGATCGAGCAGCGCCGAGCGACGAATCGCTCCGTGTTCCGTAAGCTGGGTCGATTGGGTATCCACTATCCCACAGGAGTCAGGACCGGCCACACGCGTTCTAGAGCCTTGCGCGTGTACCGGATGTCGCTACGCGACCGGATGCAGATTTTTTCAGTTTCATCGCGCCGAATTTTCGCTACTTTGATTTTCGACGAAAATCAAAGAAGCAAAACAAATTGCACGAATCAAAATGTAGAGATTAAATAAAGTAAAATATAGATTTTTAATTTAATAAAATTTAATAACATTAATTTAATAAAATTTTGATATTTTCTCATATATTGTAGGTACATTTTATGTATATTAAAAAAAATTTTTAATATTTGTCCGTGTAATCTATAAGTATACTAAATTAATTTTATTTGTGTTTTAAATATATAATTCTAGCCTTTTATACATGATGAGTTTTAAAGTTTTAAATGAGAAGAAAACAATTGCATTAAGGCGACTTCGATCGAACTTTGATTAATTTAATCGACGATTAATTTAACTGGCAGAATTGCTCAAAGTAAAATTTCTGGTTATATAATTCGTAGTCCCTAATCAAACTTTTTAATGTGTTAATTAACAAAAATTAATCGTGCTACCTTACTAAGATAATACAGATATTACTTAATGAGATAATTAATTGAAATTTGAATTTAGTAGCTCTAAAGATAAATATTTCCTTATTACTCGAAGTTACTTAAGCAGTAGTATAATCGATTACTCGAATTTCTTAAATCGATTTTGTGATTTCGCGCTATCAAGTTAAACGTAGATGTCTTTTTCTCTCTTTCCCTCTATATTCATTATTTTATTTTTGTTATCATTTATATAAAATATTTTATTACACAAGTTACTAAAATTTTTTTATAATAATTTTCAGAAAATGCAATGAGCATAAATAAAATGAGTACAATGAATATATAACATCTATTTTTCAATAAACAATAAATTAGAATATTAACAAACTAGAATAGTGTTCAAATTGCATTAAAAATAAATACACAAGATAGACGGAGTACCAAATTAAATAAATTATGTGTACAATAAATGCATAATGTATAATGTTTCGATGTTCCTTATGTTTTATTTTCTCAAAATCGGTTTTTTCATGACTCATTTCTAAAGAACAATATAATAATAATAGTTAATAACACGTTATTATTTATATTATTTTTTATAAATAAATAAATTATAATATAATTATAAATTGTAATATATAAATTGTAGATAAGTTAAGTTATTTATAATGGCGTGACATACATATAATATTATATGTAAGATAATAACCTGATTTTTTGTATACTCTGTATATGTATATAATGTTAAAACTATTTCCATCATGCATTACATTCATTTCTCGCAGTAAAGATATTATATTTTGAACAGGAATGTAATGCACAGTCTGGATGCTTCGGATGCATGAAAGTGACTATGTGACGTCATTAGTGATCTTCATTC